AATGAAGAAAAATTTAATATAAGTTTAACATAACAGCAAATTTACAACGTTTCGACAAACTTCTAATTTTGGTTGGAAACGGCTTGAATGGGTAATGAATAAAAACTTTAATATAAGTTTAACATAACAGCAAATTTACAACGTTTCGACAAACTTCTAATTTTGGTTGGAGGCGGCTTGAATGGGTAATGAAGAAAAACTTTAATATAAGTTTAACATAACAGCAAATTTACAACGTTTCGACAAACTTCTAATTTTGGTTGGAGTTAAACTTATATTAAAGTTTTCTTCATTACCCATTCAAGCCGTTATAACAGCAAATGTACAACGTTTCCACAAATTTCTGATTTACTTATTCAGATACAGTGCTGCATTGGAAGTTGAAATAACACGTGCAATTTTGCTTGAAAGATCCTGCTCATAAGTAGATATTTTTATTGCCAATAGAAATCAATGTCAAAATAAAAGATATATTTGTAATACCTATTGCTCTCAGCCAACTGAATACTATTTTCTAAATAACCCAGTTTTCCATTATGATATTAGCTTTTCTGTCTAAACGCTTTCCTAATCAGATTTGGTTTGGTTTCATAACTGAAAGATATATATATATGATAAGAATCATAAATGATTAGCAATAATTCATCCTCCTGTTTTTTTTGTCTATTACTTATGGAGTTAAAGTAGTCAGAAATAGAGACAAGGCACGGGGTAGGCCATAACAAGACCTACAAATAGAAAGTTTAATCTTTTAACTGCACAAACTGAAGTTGTGTTGATGTATGGTCAGGCCTGGCATAACCAGGTGGTTAGGGAGCTCGACTCGCAATCTGCGGGTTCGAATCCCCGTCCCACCAAACATGCTCGCCCTTTCAGTCGTGGGGGCGTTATAATGTTACGGTCAGTTCCACTATTCGTTGGTAAAAGAGTAGCCCAAGAGTTGGCGGTGGGTGATGATGACTAGCTGCCTTACACTGCTAAATTAGGGACGGCTAGCGCAGATAGCCCTCGTGTAGCTTTGAGCGAAATTAAAAAGAAACAAACTGTTGGTCTGGTCTCACTAATTTTTATAAGTACTTATGTAACATTTCCATAATTAATGAATTTACAACTAGAATTTAGAATTCTGATATATATATATAATTCCAGGAAAGGAAATGAAGGTTCGCGTTTGAGTAAACTACAATGTTTTCTTCACAAACTAAATTTTCAAAGATCAAAAACGTTTGTGGAACATTTCTCTACTACAGAGATTTAGAATAGACAAATATTGTTATTTTGACGACATTAGTCTTCGTAAGGAGTGCTAAATAAGCTTTCTTTTTCATTATTCATCCTCTCTTTGGCGACTTCAATACAACTAGGGCGCAAAACCTTAAGACAGTGTAACAAAAGACGACCTTACTGTCATAGAAACATATTCATTTGTGCAGAAACGTTCCCACGATCTTGGACTTGTATTAGGGGTGGTATAATAATTACAGAGCGGAAACGGCGTTCAGCTCCTTGATATATTTCACAGCTACTTCTCTGTAACTGAACTACTGTATATTAAGTGCAATGTGTTGTTTTTCCAAAGACATTTCATTAGACCAACTAAGTGATTTTATTATGTTGTTTCAAATTATTT